TGCGAAAGACTGTTTTGATTACACGATCGATAAAACATATTTCCAGGTGTGGTGGCTTGCCTGGAGATTACACAGTTGGATCTAACATCCGTAAACATTTTGACGCTTGTATGAAATTTTCTAAGGTCCTAAAGGACGGCCCACATCCGCTACATGATGAACTCTTACAAATGTTATCTCTCTCACTCACACTCAAAATTTAGGATTTTATTCTCTCGCACTTTTTCTTATCGTAAAATAAGCTTGCCTTATTTGTCACGCTTTCTTGTTGAACCTATGTAATTTACAAATGCTTTACGCATGCGGTTACTGGAATGACATCCAAATAACTTTGGCTATTTATTTCTTCATTCTGTGTTTGTGTCTTTTAACTGTTCCTATTCATTTAGTGTCTCGGCGCTGATAGTTTACATGCTAATATTGCACTTATTCATGTGTATAAAACCTATTTTGATTTGACTTGAAAGTGAAAGTTTGCGAATCAATATCAAATCCCATACATGTGGACTGCGGTGTGCTACAAGTTTCGGTATTTGGACCCCATCTACTCTTGAGTGCCATTAACGACTGGTGTTTGTTTAACGCAAAAGATAGCATAGTTTGGCGGCCGAGCAAGGATCTAACAGGCCACATGCAGCTTCAAAAGGACCACAACAAGATTCATGGATGCTCGGTCCACAATCGTCTCCAGTTCAACATGACTAAACGTCGTGTACTCCGTCTAAAACCCTAGCTGATTCACACCTATAAACTGGGCGACCAGGATTTCCCAGTGTTTTTCTGAAATAGATCCGATCCAAGAAGATCTTGGTTGCTCAGAGCAATCTGTAGTGGCAACAAAAATGTAACCAAAATTTGGGGTTTTTAAAGAAAGCTTTTGGTCGCTTCGACTCATCCATGTTACCCAGCTGGTTTCTATTTACACACATCCGCACGTGGAAAAGGCGATTCTCACGTTGCAGCCATTTCTGAAGCGGGACCACACTGTCTTGAAAATTTCCAAACTTCGGACCACAAACATTAAAGGGCTATGTTACTTACCGTACGAATAGCGCCGGTGCGTTTTGGGACTATTTATCGGCATTCGCTTGGTGACCTTATCAAGGTTTACCAAATCTAAAGAAACCCAAATCACTCGTGGAATTACTTTCTAAAGTTCAGCCATAACAACAGACTGAGAGACAACCGTCTCAAACTGGTAGATCAATACAGCTGTCTGGAGTGTAGACTGAATATCGTATCGCTACGTGCCACATATGGAATTCATTACCAGAACCTGTTATCTCAACCCCTATATTAGCTTTGTTCAAAGACCGTGTCGACAATGTACTGGTCACATTACACTCCATCATACGACACACATGAAAATAAGCACATTCAGAAAATAAAACCGTATCAAACTACACCCTTCCTTCAGGGGAAAGCAAAGACAGTGTCATTTCAAGCTATATAAAACCAAATGTGAATGTTTCAGACAGACGAACTTTCGCTCGACAAGTTCACTGATTTGGTTTTCACTGTTTATATTTGCTTTTCCTTTGGCTAGACCTATCAAACTGCGTGACATGTTAAGATTTCCTATTTTATTCGCAATTTAGCATTAACCATAAGTCCTAAGACGGAAGCGTAAAATGACATTTCAAATATATAGAACCCAGTATTCTTAGGACGCTGGCAAGATCTGTTAGGGAAATGTGTTTGAAAATCGCTACATAAAGTGAGCCTATCTAAAAGTTTTGCTAAGACAAGGCCATGCCTCCATCAGTAGCTAGGCATCGAGCCATTATTTCCGGAGACAGCACTATTCTCAAAAGAGAAACAAGATCCTCACATTGGCCCTAACGAATAGATATTGTTACACGTCCTGACTGTTATTTTGTTTACTCACTGATGAATTCATGACAATCGTGTTATATCACAGCACCACAGGGGTTCGCACAGCGTTGATAAAACACCGAATTAGAAGTAAAGCGGCTTTTATCTGCCATCGTAATTAACTGCTACATTATGTGTATGTTCCTGAGCATGAGTACTACTTTAGCGTGACAACAGTCAACATGATACCCCCTCCCTTCCGCGAATTCAGCCTTCTAAGGTGATGAAGTGCGAATGCGTTGTTTACTAGGGCGATTTTTAAACATGAACAATTTTGTATCCTGTATGCCAAAGCAAACTCAGTAAAATCACCAAAAAAACAGACGAAAATCATAAAGTTACTCTACATTCCAGAATCCATAAAAATAATACGTTCGCCGACTGGTTGGCAAGGTATGCAGACCCACATGGACTGTTCTATCAGTTGCAATTAATTTAAGCGAATTCATTAGATTCAAACGAAGTTAACAGATATTCCGAACAAATAACGAACAATTTGAATGGAACTTAACGGCTTTTACTTGTTTTATCTCCGAAACCGAGAAATATATTACAAAGCGTATGCTAAAATGGTTGTTACATTCTTGCTTGATTCATGCATGAATTGTGTTCATTTGATTTGCATTTTCCACTTCTTGTGTTAGCCGCTCACTTTGCAAAGTAACTTTCATAGCGTTCCTCTCTACCTGGTACATTAATTACCGATACTTCGAAAATCAGAGTCCTAAACGAATTACAGGAAGGTTTCACCATACAGCTGAAGCGAAAAGCACTGGCAAGTGAAAGTAGGGCGAAAGGCGGTTGGATGACACTATGTGGCTGAGCATTCTGTTATCACAAAACCATGAACTGTTGTGGGACGAATTTCCGGTCAGAAAATATTAACAGATGCAGACAGCTTTGTAGGACTACGTTACTATCCTATTAAAGAATGCATTGTTGATGTTTAAGAGGGTTGCAACACACACAAGAGCTGCATTCGAAAAACTATCTAATAGGTGGCAATCTAAATTCATAGTAGAATTTAAGTTGTTTTGCATCGTCAATAGTTTATCAATTCGATACCGTCAAATGAGTGGTCCATTAGTGAGAATCCTACGGAAGCTTGATCAGGGGTCTACGCTAGATATCAGCTGTACGAGACGTTTGCTAACAGTTTGATCATTAAGACACCAAGGTATACAGATGAGTAACTATATTGTCAACTATGACATGTTTCTATTGATGTGGAATTTGGTAGTATATCCGCTGCGCTAAACGCTATTGCAAGTATGGCTTCGGAATAAGAGCATACAAATGCGTAACCTCAATTTCAGTTCAACACTGCTTTCCAGACCGCTATAAGTGATTTGTATTGATGCAGAGCATTTGCACTAGCGCCTAAACACATTGCATAACCGGTACAAGGAAGTGTTAAAGAAGTATTCAACGAGAAATTCTACTAGAAATTGACGTAGCTCATGCGCATGCACATTAGTTGGGCCACGTTGCATTCATACAGTAACTGCATTCCCATTTATACTTCCAAACAATTTACTTGCTGTAACATAAAAGAGCAACCGTGACGTTCTGGCTAAGCTTGTATATATAGCAATCACTTTAAGCCTTTCTTGTTTCGCAAACCCAACTTGCACAAATTAACCATCTTTTTAGTTTGTCGCTTTTCAATCGACCGGTAAAAACATTTTAAGTGCATTGATTCATTAAAAGCAGCAAAGTAGCCCGATATTGCAAGCATTAACAGGCCCAACGAAAGACCATTTGAGGGGGACTTTCCAGTAGATTTGCTCTGTTAAGCCCAAATGGCACGATGGGGTTTTTTCTGATTTTGAGTTGCAAAAGAACGTGTGTTTAGGTAACTGTATTAACTGAAAATGTTATCCACGGCGGTTGAAGCAATGCATTTTATTACTCATCCATATTCCTTGATAACCCTTAATGGTTGGATGCCACACGCAGAAAGGTTAATCAAACATGTCCATCACAATTATAACTAACACCAACCAAGTGTCGTTGGACCTGTTGTCGGAATGAACCCCATGCTTGCTATCATACCGGACGCAAGCTGAAAACTTGTTGAACATGTGAAAGGTTAACAAATGCTGTTAGTTACGGCCGTACAATTTTTACAGAAAAAAATGCGTTGCCCTAATGATTTGCCTGGACTTAGTTGTTTTATCTGAAAACGGTGAGTGGTAGAACTGACTGAGAACTTGGTCCGATAAGCGTATGAACCACTGTGTTTTTTAAGGTATGTTCTCTTCATTTGCACAATGCCAAACGTTGTTAAGTGTCTGGTCAGATTTATGAGGACGAGTTGTTAGACGGCGGCTACAGCTCTGGTGACAAGTGTCCTGTGTGCGCGTAACAGCGCGTGATTTGCATACTTGGTCATACGGCGGCGAACTTCAGCAGTCTATTAGCCACCGATTTACGCTGTTTTGTGCGAGAATGTCGCAGTGAGTTAATGCGAGTTGAGCGGTAGCGCCGATTTGAAGTGGTCTGAAAGAACTTGGTACAACGCATAACCAAAAGGTTTAGCCCACTATGTGACATTGGTTTAACCTAGCAATACAACTACAGATAGAAACAACAATAAGATTGATTTTGTACCGCTGAATATTGATCAGTTTAATTCAACAACCAGGTTTGGATACTCTAATTAAGAGATAAACTAGTGTAATCCAATTGAGAATCATACATAGATTCGAAGATTTATTTTATGTATTTACCACAGTTAATATTATAGGTGAATACCTAAGCGAAGGTCTAAGCTGTAAGCGCCGGTGCAGTCTATAAATTTTTGCACAGATTACTTTTAGACTGACAAGTAACTTCGTAAGCACATCAAAAGTGCCGGTTAGTTTACATTCGATGTGGCAGCCGTATTTCACTCAGTCTGATACTAAACTTAGGCTGTGCTTCTTCACCGCACCCTAATGTCCATCAATGAGCCTGAAGGCCTCAAATTGTCTAGATTTCAGCCAAACGGCAAGTGCCCTACAAGCCGCCACAGAAGGACTTGCATGTGACCAAGCCGGCTACAAATTTTTAAAAACTAATGAACCTGACACATGTTAACTTTTTCAATGTGACGTGTTGCAAAGAGTAATCGAATCACATACCTGTACTCCACAAGACTCCACTGATGAGATGTAGAAGAAAGAATAGTGTGGTACTTTGTGACGTTTCCGTGGAACGTGAAGCCGGTTGTGGCAGCATGGATTGGATGAGGCACGTTTAGCAATATAAATCCTGGTTACTCTATCGTTCCACGATCAGTCTGTTAGTGTACAATCCGGCAACTGACACAATCCAGCTTCAAAACAGAAACATGCGGCAGTTTTGACCAGTATCCACGTGAAAAGCCACGTGCCTTAATCGCAGGTTCTCCACAGAATTATTCATCCAACTCCGGCACCTCTGTTTGACCATTGGTGCAAATGTCTCACCAATGGTCCGGTTAGGCGAATGAGCCAGCCCCGACCAATCAGAGGAAGGCAAATGAATTAATGGACGACCGAAAGTTCCAAAAGGTTGCTCTAGCCAATTTCTGATGCGGTCTTCACTGATCACGTGATTATTGATAGTACAGCTGTTCCTATTAAAAATTGATTAGAGTTTGGGGCATCCAACTCAACCATGCTGCATACCAGATGGAAAGGTAGGAAGCTCGTTCGTGGGAAATTGTCTGATCTTATACTAGTCCAGAGGGCATAGTGAGATGTGGAACACAACACAGTGTCAGTTCATATGTGGCTGTTAATTAAGTGTATGGACTTCAATGCCCGGATATTTCACTTCATAAATTAATGTGTCAAAGTAAAGCAACTGCTTGCTAGGCATTGACTACTTACGCCAAAATTCTTCCCTTTTCCTCTTAGACAACCGTGTGGTACCAAAATAATATGATGTTTGGAATAATGAAAAAGAAACATGGAAAATTCACATGAGTAGACAGTACTCGGTCATAAAACTGAACTGCGTTCCAAATTAACGTATGATTCAACAACATGTAAATGTCGCACCCTACGTGAAGCGAATGAATACGTCAAGACCTGTGGGAGTGTTTATGCCATAGGGGCGTAAATCCCAATGCAGTACATTAATTCATATAGCGTTGGACCTGCAACACTGAATGTCCTAAATAACCGTTGCACTTATGATAGGCCCAACATGCGGCAGCAAATGTTTTGTTGAATCTGTTGTTAATGAACACTACAGGGGAGTTGGTGCTACTTATTTCAAGAGAAATGACATTGGATTTGCTTCCTGTTCACTTAGTCGCACGGAACACAACTATCAGATGGCATCCTTGATAATTTCACCAACAAGCTAATAAAATGCAATTCGGAATTGCTTTTCAACATGCACACGTCACTTGGCTTAATCGACATCTACAGGTGCATGGGAGCTTGCAACCATTCTACACAAAATGCCGTGTGACCACAGCTGGGAGCAATTGTGTGCTATTTCGTATTCAGACCTTTGGACACCCATATGCTTAGCATCTGGTGTTATCATGTCCCATAGATCGGGATCCAGCGGCGATAGGATTGTCGTTCCTCACTGGCATCGTTAACATATGAAAACGATATTCCATGTAGCAACATACCGATTATTTCAAAAAATCATGATTTAGTAAAATATAATGCTTGATTCGAAGTTCACACTTCGCGCTGTCCTTTCTGAATCCCGAGAGACCATGACTCATTTACGAACATGTTGACCACCTGTTTGCCACGTGTCCCCAACCCATCCGTACCAGGATAGCCCTAATGTGAATGTTCCGCAGGTGCGTGGGCTCAGGCGATTCATTTGTGGGTGCACCTGGTGGAGCGTGAAAATGGCATCGCAGCGTTGAATTTGGCCTGATACACTTGATGCAACCAAACATGCAATTTATTTAATTTACCTAGGGTTCGACTATATATAAGATTCCGAGTGTCTTACAACCTGCGTTATTGTGTCGCATAGAAGTAACGGTGTCTGTGAGTTCTCTCTGTTTCTCATTAATCCAGTAAAATTGTATCGCGAGTATTGTTAGCGCGAACTATATGGAGTAAATTTGTCTTCAGATTGTCAACTGGTGTCATTGTTCATCAGTTATACATCCTAGACACTAACCTATCCTCGTCAACAAGCTTGACGCAATTATTCAAATAAAGCAAGTCGTAGAGGGGTTACGTCGTAATGCGTTTGTATGTATCGCACGTGTAGGCCACGATATGCCTTGACACGAATAATTAAAAATGGCAAGCACAGATATGCCGCTGAGATTCAGGTGGGGATGCGAAGCGACCCCCAAACAGATACGAGTTTCCACGGACTGAGTTTGCGATCTGTTCTGTCATTATGCTTACCACAACAAAGATTAGTCTATGTGGTGAAATGTCATCGTTATTGCGACATGTTAAAGATATCAAGGCACGCCTCATCAGGAACACGGGATTTCCACCATCAATTACGCTTGTTACAGTAAATCGAATACAAGAGTGTACGAAACAAAAACTGCCAAAACATTGCCGCTTTGTTCAGACTGCCATTTTTGCTACTGTTTACATGTTCCAAATTTTATTGTTCAATATCATGGTAAATGGGTGACATTCTGTAAACTACATATACAGGAACATCGTTTATGTGTGTGAGATAACACAACTGTTGTAACCACTTAGATTATTTGTATATATTAATAGAGTACGTGCTTCAAGTTAAAGATGCAGCCCCCGAAGGGGAATGTCATTTGGCGACAACAATAACTAGTGACGGGCACTGCCAGTGAACTCAGGCTGTCTGCACCTAGGTGTGGGCCAGGTTAAATGTTTCTACACATTCGAATGCCCTAAGGCCAAAATAACGAATTCATAGTTCATATTTGCAGCGAATCGGCGTTCTTTCACTGAGGACTAAAAGAAAGACTAGCAATGAATTAGTGTATCTTTCGACCAAAAGCCTCCACCATCAAATGAGTGTGACATGCAATAATTTGTTAGAATACGGCCACTAGGCTCAGTGATTATTTAACGCTCAAATGGGCTGCTTACTGAACATTAATTCGGATTGATATAGCACATGGAACTTAGGCCACATGCACTGGACAAGCAGAAGTGTAAATTTACGCAGTAGGTTAGTGTATGAGCTGCACAGTTGCATCAAAGTAAACAGTCTCAAGCTGAACCACGGAGTAATTGTGGCTAAACCTTACTCTTTACCAACAGTTGGACTGCATGTTTCAACCCGTATCTTCAATATTTATATTGGTAAAGCTGCCCCTAGGTGGGCAACCGAGCGGTCAGTGATTCTCGGCTGACTCATCGAATCAGGTACGATACTGTGGATGCTGTTGGTGTACTAGTTAGAAAATTACTACCGTTATAGTTGGAGTACCCACCAGGCATTTGGAAAGCTATATGCCTTCTGAATTCAACATGAGTCCGCTGTGGATCTGGGTCAGAGTTTGGACAAAAAATGAAATCCGCTAACATCATTAGAACAAAGGTAGATGTTCGATTTCCAGCTTTAGAAGAATTGATCTAAAGAGTTCAAATAAGGATGAGATAAGTTTTGATGTTCAGAAATGGTATCTAGGCCAAGAAGACTGTTAGTATTGATATACTTACGATATACATATATGCTGCTACTAATGTCACCTTAACTGCCAATTCACCATCGAGTTACTTTTGTGTATGCCTTATTGCTTACTTCTCACAATAAATTGTATTCACTGTAGCCTGCACCAAGTCACAGAGAGCATTACACTACGCTCTCAGCGGCGTGGACAAGAGAGCGTGCGAGATGTCAAGTTGACTCTGAAAGCCCATACTATACTTTTAAATGTGAAGTACGGAGAAGGTTTGCCTCGTTGCTGTAAATGCAAGTAAAACCATTCATGTCTACCCGCTATTCGCCACGAGCTACCTAAAACTATCCTCCACTCCGCAAACCTGTATTTAAAAACATGTATTGATATTCATATGGTACCTCATACTGGGGTTGATTTTCCATACATAATACGCCCACACCGCAGTTGGGCTAAACCAATTTACGCTTAAACCAGAGGATTTTATTATAGATAAAAGTTATTTCACTTCCTTTGAGTTGTTCAGTTCTGTTATTTTTCTGCATCTTCTGTGCCATTTTGCATGTTTACTTTCCCAAAATTATACCTTGGTTATTTGATATCCCCGGTATGGCTGCGCTTGAGGTGCATGTGTTTGACAAGGTACCTACCTGTTTAAGACCGTTCACCACGATTGTTGTACCCAGGAGACAGTTGGTCGCTGCTGGAGGGGACGAGGTGCCCCGTTCTCGTTGCCGTGCTAAGCTCAAAGATTGGTTCCATCCAGTGTGGAGCGGAACACAGTCCAGTCACCGCTTTTTGTGCGTATGGTACGCATGATTCCATTCATAGATAGACAAGGAACGCTGCTGCTGTGCGTGTTGAAGGTGTGCGGGTCGGATCCGTTAATGAATGTGGCTCCCATCCACATGCCTCTCGGTCATATTCCTTCGGGTTTACACTGAATATGGAATGTGCGGATGGAAATAGGAGTAGTGCAGAGCAAGCAACCTATGGTCCCTTTATAGGCGCAGTCTTCGTGCGTCAGTGACCACCAAATCCGGAACCGCAGGCCGCCAAATATATATATATATATATATATATATATATATATATGGGCTCATATCCTTAAGAATCACTAGTCTGTCTTGTAATCCGATGCTGCGGGATCGAGTGTGCGGAACACCGTTCGACCCTCGCAGTATCTTTTGCCCATGTGTGACTGGTGGTGCTTGCGTGGCAAAGAAGCAGCAGTACTGCCTACAGGCGTGCTGTTGATTCTTATATGATTGGCGGCATCCGGTTTCGGAGTCGCCTGCCACTGTGGCCAGCCACAGGACGCCTGCGCATACGGAGGGACCATGGGTGGCTTGCGCTGCACCACCCATAGTTCCAGCCACACACCCTTTATCCAGTGTAAACCCGAAGGAATATGACCGAGAGGCATGTGAATGGGAGCCACGTTTCATCAACGGAGCCGGCTCACACTCCTACACAGGCAAACACAAGCACGCTATAGTTGGGAATGAAACGCACACAAAGCGGTGCTCGGACCGTGGTCCGCTCCACACTGAGTGCATGGAACCACTCTTCGAGACTAACACATCCACAAGGACCGTGCACCCCGTCCCCTCCAGCAACGACCAACTACCTCCTGGAGCCAGTATGGAGGAGGTAGTAGACAGGTAGGCACCTTGTCAACGTACACAACAAGCCCAGCCACACTGGGAATATCTAGCAACAGACAATCACTTGAAAGGACACGACCAAACAAAACAAATCGCATAATGCATACAGATATTCCGACTAAGCTCTTTA